ATGGAGACTCTTGCCTGTGACTAGAGTGGATCAGCCAGTGGCTCAGGCTGACCAGATGCTCCACAGATGGGTTTGAGGCTCTCTCCTTCCCTCATTTCCTCCACAAATTGGATGCTCATCATATTTGCTCTGATGTTTTTAAAGTTTTGTAATGGTCACCTTTGGATCACACAAGTTGTTGTGATTCTTCTGTGTGGACCTGGTTGACTTCTCACTTAGATGACTGCTTGTTTGAATACAAGACAGACACTCTTCTGATGGATAGTAAGGCAACATCTGCTTTCTTCACCACACTTTGCTATCGCACCCTTATCTTCAGGGATCATTTCATGAAGGTGAGTATGTGGAAGGATTATGATATATGAACTGATTGTTCTTAAGTTGGGGCTAGGATTTAGTGAGAGCCCCAAACCCATTCCTGGATCTATGCCTTTTAAAATTTATTTATTTTAAAATTAATTTTCTGTAAGTTGGGAGCCTATACATATGTCCTATTATTCCATAATTCAATCAAGTCAAACATAATTTTACAATTTCTTGCATAATCATAAATGTTCTCCAAAATATACTTTCTTTCCTGGATGTCTTGGTATTTTCTCCCTTTTGTCTCCCCCACCTGGAAACACTTGCTATGCTTTTTCCCTGTAGACTCAATATCCCTGGGCTTCATTTACTGAAAAATAATGAAACAACTCAGCTTCAAGAGGATGAGGCCCAATGGCGATGAACCTCTGAGACACACTCCAATGTAAATGGGCAGAAACAGAATATAACAGAATGGCCGTCACAGGCTTGCTGAGATAATACGTGTCTTAATACAGCATACCAGATGTTGATATACCAAGACCTTGCTTGTTTGCCAACCAACAGAACGCTGCTGTTGGTATGACTGTCTTCTTCTACCTCAGACGCCGTGTGTTTCCCAGCTTAAGTCCATAGGGTACAAGGGTGTCTGGGGTAGAGTCCATTCACCCAGTGGAATTCCCATTTGGGGACTCATAGATGCAGCCTCTAAATCATGACTTGCACCCCGAAGGTGAAGACTCAGTGTCCCACTGTTCTGGCACCCTCCCTGGGTGTCCAGACTCCCTAAACCAATACTACCCTCCCACTGCACACCACTAAAGACCCTCCCTACATAATGATGCCACGCGCTCTGCTGTCTCTCCTCCCTCACCTGGATGGTCAGCCCCCCTCCCCTCCCTCCAGCAGACATGTACCTATGTTTCCCCTGACTTGACCATTCCTTCTCCCCTCTCCTGTGCTGCCCCTCCCAGCAATAAGCCACATCCTTCCTCTCCAGGGGACTTCACCCAGGTCCACGCGGCTACCACTCAGTGGACAGCATCCCCCTCTCCTAACCATTGGATCCCAGTTATTTTGAGGTTCCCTCGGCCAAGTGAGCTACACTATACTTGCCTGGAGCAGATGATGGGTGGTTCATGGCACTGGCCTAGCTCTTTACCCTGCTGTCTGGTCCCCGGCCAGAAGCCTGGATGGCCTGCATGCTTGAGCGTGTGCCCTTTCTGCTGCCTGTCCCTCCCTCCCCTACCTTCCCACCCTTGTGACCCCTTGATAAATTATAAAATATTATTATCTTCAAGTCGTACACTGTCTGGAGACACAGTGTGGGAATTGCATCCGATCTGACCCCGCCTCACCGAGGCAAACACTAAGGTCGTGCTGCAGAACAGCAAGGGGAGCAGAGCCAGGAAGTCCCAAGGGAGTACCAAAAATAGACTTTGGGGCCAGCACGTGGCACCCCACAGACATTCCTAAAGGTCAACAAACAGACATTGAACTATTTACAGGCTTTTCTCTTTTTTTACCATTGTTTTTTTGTTGTTGTTTTCATTTCTTTTGTTGCTTTGTTTTGCTCTGTTTTGTTTTTGTGCATATTGTTATCTCTGCAGGTCTATCTAGATAAGATAGGCTGGATAAATTGGAGGAGAAAACAATGGGACCAATGGTTCCAGGGGGACATGGGAGAGGAGGAGATGGGGGAAAGGAAGTGGTGTTAACAAACTCAGGGACAAGGGAACAACAAGTGGTCCAAAATCGGTGGTGAGGAGGGTGTAAGAGGCCTGGTAGGGTTTGATCAAGGGCAATGTAATCAAGAGGAATCACTGAAACCCAAATGAAGGATGAGCGTGATAGTGGGACAGAGGAAAGTAAAAGGAAATAGAGGAAAGAGCTAGGAGACAAAGGGCGTTTATAGAGCTCTAAATACAGTCATGTACATATGTAAATATATTTATATATCATGGTGGTGAACTATATGTGCATATATTTATAGGTTTAGTATTAAGGTAGCA